TCTAAGATTATAAAGAAATAAAGTTAGAAAAAACAATTGTATAAAGAAAAGTTTTGAAGTAGTAATTTTTGAATGTAATTGTCTATGTTAAAGTTGTAGATAGTATTATTGTTTGTATTATTTGGTGTTTGTAAAGAGTAAATAATTTTTTTATATTTTTTGACTTTTTTTGAGATACTACGAGTAGATTTCCATTCATATTGTTTTTGATTTCTATCTTTTTATATTTGGTTATTGAACCAGAGAAGTAAAGAATTAGAAAGTTGTATGAAAAAGTTATTTGTTAGTTTTTTTAGAAGTGTATTCATTTGTTCAGTGCAAGTTATTGAAATAGTTCTTTGAATTAGTAAGCGTAAAATCTTTGAAATGTTTTGAGTATTGTAGCTAGAAGTGAGAATTTGAAGAATTGATTAAGAAGATATGTTTGTTATGTTTAATGTTTGTAGATGTTTAGTTATATATTGTTGAAGAAGGTTGTGTGAATTGAATGAGTATAATATATAGGAGAAAAGATATTCAGTATTTTCATATTAATTGCAGTATAAGCAGTTAGGTATGAGATAAAAATTTGGGTAGTAGGTATTAGGTTTGCTATAGTTGGAAGGTTGTTAAGAAATATTTTGTTTATGAGTGAATAGAGTTTTAGATTGTTGTTTTGGGAGTTTATTGTATTAATAAGTTGGAAGATATTGTAGAGTTGAAGATTACAAAGTGTTTTGTGCTATATAAGCTTGTTAAGGGTTTGAATTGAGAGGATATTTGTACAGAATTTTTGTATTTTGAATGTAATAGGTATCTGGTTCTATAAAAAGAATATAGGTAGGGAAAAGTAGTTAGCATTTAGACAGATTTCTATTTTGTTGGTCTTTTGTTTTGTGAGTGAGTCAGCAATATTGTGAAAGAAGCTTTTAAAATGTGATTTAGTTTTATATGTAGTATATTGTATATTTTTCTTTTAATTAGGAAGTTTAGTATATGAATAATATCTCAGTTGTTTTGTTTAGTTTGTGTTAGGTAATCATATGGAAGATTGTTTTTAAGTATCTGAATTACAGAGAGGTTGTCAAGGTGAATATGAATTTTGTAGTTAGTTGGTAGAGTTAGAAATAGAAAGATAAATATTAAGAGTTCAGCTCTTGTAGAGTTTGGTGTGTTTGAAATTGATGTATTAAATTTGATTTGAGTATTATTTTGAAGTATTCAGACTATGCCAGTTTTGATATCTAGAGTTTAGAAGTTTTTAATTGATGCATCTGTGTAGAAATGTAGGTTGTTTGGATTTAGAGATAGAATTTGATTATAAAAGTTAATAATTTGGTTTTAGTAGAGTAAGTTTGTAATTGTATTTTAGATAATAGATATATCAGATAGTAGAATTTTTATTTCTAGTAGAATATGTGTTGGAGGTATTATAAGAGAATGATATATTTTGTGTAGTGCTTAAATTTCTTGTTGGTTAATGCAGAGTTTGTATTGTTGGTTTTTCTTTTGTGTTTTGTATTTAATGTTAATTATAGATTAGTTTTAGGACTTATATAATTTGTATCTTATTTGTATCTTATGATATATATTTTATATATATCTAATGATATTTCCTCTAATAAATGACAGACAAGATCACTCAAGTTAGAAAAAAAAAAAAGTATAGTAGTTAGATTGCCAAATTGCTATGTAAGAGATCTAGAGTTCAAATCCTATTATTGACAAATTTGAATAATTATCTGAACTTTTGTATCTAACTTATGGTAAACTCTGTTTGTTTCTAGAATTATAACTCTGTAAATTATATTGCACTAATATTAATTAAGTATTAAAAATATAATAGAAAAGTTAAGTATGATATAAAATTATATGAATAAATCTTAATAGGATCTACAAGCAGGAGACCTACATAGTAGAAATTCTAAGTTAGATAATATAGTATGAATTTCAATAGTCATATCAGCTTGACACTTGATCTAAAAGAAGTCTAGAAATAAAAGATGCAAACTAAATAGATGTGAGTAAGTCTATAGTATAACAAAAAAGTCAAGTATAATGTAATATTATATGAATAGCAATACCAACTTAGCTTAGTAGCTAACTGAATTTGAAAGGATTTATCTTATAAAATATTTAAAAGAACTAAACCAATCTGGTAAAAAACTACAGAAGGAACTAGGTTTGTATGAACACTAATAAGAATATATACTAGCTTAATTAAGATATAGCATAGCATAGTTAAGATTATCCACAAGCCTTCATTGGAATAGGATATAGAGGTACTTTGTGATAGAACTCAGTCCTATGAAGACAATTTGAAGTGCAAGTTGGTCTAAGTAGTTCTCAAATGAAGTAGCACAAGATTAGCATAGATATAAAAATATTAAGTTAAATATAGAGTTTTATAGTGACATCAGAGAGTTTAAATAGATTATCTATAGGCAGATACTAGATATGACAATTAGTAGATATCCTATAGCAGAGCCTGTAAATAGACAATGACTAAAGTTGTATGTATAGCCAATTGTATTCTCACTAACAAATATAACTTAAAAATAATACTTAATAAAAATCTGCAGACAGCTTATTGAAAAATAATAATAATAAAAAAAAAAAAATTAGTTTAATATTTGTATACTCTAATGATTCCTAAAACCAAAATAATGAGAAAAGAAAAAAACTTTTATATATATAATGATACCATATTTTCTAATAAAATATATATGAGTAAGACTAGAAAAACTAGAAGTTTAGTAAAATGTGTTTTATTATTGAAGAGTAGGCTATAAGCTATATATAAATTATTAGCACTTTTATATATTATATATATTATATATTTTATATATATTTTATATATTTTATTATTAAAAACAAGCTTTTTAAATATAAAAGTTAAAGAAAATACTTAGATAGAGTTAAGTATAACAATACTTTTTAAGCTCTTTAAGTCTATTTAGAATATTTCTACTCTTACTATTAAACCTTTAGCTAGTTTTAGGAATAGTTTCAACTGTTTAATGAACTTAGAGTATTTTTTATACAAAAAGTAGAGATTGGAACTTACCTTTTATCAAAGATTAGTATGTATTTCATAGATAAATTTAGAAATAAGTTTATAGTATGATAACAACAAATATATATATCTAAAATTAGTATAACAAATATATAATTTTAGATTGCAATATAAACTATAAGTTTACTACAAGATAATGAACCATTATAGATTTGATGAAATAACCAAATTATTATTGAATATTAGAGATATTTGCAAAAAATTGTATTTTATATTTATAATTTTTAACTATATAGTCTTGAACAAGATTATGTTTAGGCTATGATTCTTACAAACAATTTTTATTTTCTTTTGTTTTTTGTTTTTGTTTTATTCCTTTTAACTAGTTAAATTTTTAACTTGTTAACAAGTTTTCCTAACTTAGTTTTGAAAATTATATATAGTATGTAACCTTGTTTTTCACTATATGTAACAATTTTATTATACTTTTATCAATGTTAGACTTCTTAAACAGTCAGATAAAATTGTCTAGACTTCTCTTTTTCTTTATGTTAAGAAGATTTTTAGTATGACAGATTACATTTAGACATATATGCAAATAGAGTATCAAGTAATGCTTTTCATTAGGAAATTAGATATATAGAGAAGAACTATAGATTCTTGTTTAAGTTAAATCTTTATAAACTAGCTATCTGTAACTCTTTGTCTAATAAATGTGTAAAGCATAATTGTCAAAAAAAAAAAAAATTATTATTTAATAAATATAGAAAATTATAAATAGTAACCCATCATTACAGTATATTTCTGTATTTAATACAAATGACATATTCGATGATTATATTATGATTTTACTTTATGATCTTAGTGAACTCTGGTACATTTGTGGCTTCCGAGACAAAACTTAATATTGAAGATATAGCAGATCTTAAATTACCTTTTTTGAATTTCAATAACGCGGAAACATATTGTGAAAACTTTAAATCACATACTAAACCGACATTAAGCAAAGCTCGCGGAAATATGGACTTTGAAGGATTTGAGGGCGATTATAATTAGCTTTAAAAAACTATACAAAATATGTAACTTATACGTTAAATGAAACAATTTCTTATATTTTTGAAACCTATGACATGGCTAATTTATGTTTTATTATCGGCATCCATACTTCCAAATAAATTCTAAACCTTCACAGTTTTTCATATCTATTATAAATTTAAAGTTACTTTTTAAAAATCTAGAAGTGAGAAGAAACTGGATTCCGAACGTTTCTTCTTGCTTTAAAATTCATAAATATATGAACTGTGAAATTTGTGAAAATTTTTTATAAAGTCAAATTCCTTGATTTCTTCTTTTGAGGGCCCGTATATTCCAAGACTAGTACCATTAGATTTATAATACTATGTAGATCAAGTTTTTGATTTGAATTTTAAAAAAAGTCACTTCTTTATCTCATACAAATAGAATTCGACTATAAGGGAAATCAGATTTCAGGCTTATACAAGTTTATTTCTTATTGGACTCGTTTTAGTTCGGTAAACTATAATTCCTGAATTTAAAAGCCTAAGTCTGATTTTTCCCTTGGCGTTCATTCATTTACAAGAAAAAAAGTACTTAAATTCTACTTAGTTTAGCAAAAAAAAAAAAAAATGTTCAATGTATATCTTGTATAAGATTGAAAAATTTTGCGATTTTCTTTCAATAAGAAATTGACGTTGATCGCTTATCAGTTATAATTACAGCTGTCAAAAAAAAGGTGTGAATAACAATTTCCATATATCAATGTGGGAAATCAAAATTCCGATTAGGAAAATTCAAGATCCGAAGAGAGCGGGCTTTGAAAACCATGAAATAGTGATCTACGTTCGTTCACACCTTTTTAAAAACTAAGGGACAATCGTGAGAACAGGAAATTCTTTGTACGTACAGGTTTTTAAGTAAAACATTTAATGCATGACAAAAATTCATTGATTTTTTTCTTTTTCCGTGATAATATTTTTTGTTAAAAATGCAAGCAATAACATTCCAACAACCATTCAAAGTATTAATAAAAACAGTGCCTATTCCCGAAATTTTACAAGATACTGATGTTATTGTAAAGACTTGTGTTAGTGGATTATGCGGATCTGATTTACATGGTTAGTTTAAAAAAAGTTTTTTCTATAAAAATTCTTTAATTCAATCTTTTTTTTTTTTTTTTTATAAACATGTAGTATATAGAGGAAATGAAGTTGGAATTGATAAAGATACAGTAATGGGACATGAATTTATGGGGATTGTGAGTGAAGTTGGAAGTGATGTTAAAGATCTTAAAGTTGGTGATAGAGTTTTATCGCCTTTTACAATTTGCTGCGGGGAGGTAATATACTTAAGTTTTAATTAAATGAAAAAATTTTTAGGTTAATAAGTTCTCCGCATTATTTAGTGCTTTTATTGTTGCCGTGGTATGACATGTAGATGCGAGAAAGGCCACTTATTTGGATGGGTAGAAAATGGACACGGGATTCATGGGGGACAGGCAGAATACGTTCGCGTTCCATTAGCGTCTTCAACTCTCGTCAAGATTCCTGAAGGAATAACGGATAAAACAGCGTTATTGCTTGGTGATGTAATGTCTACCGGTTATTTTTGTGCAGAAAATGGGTTGAATGGATTGAAATCTCAATTATCATATTTAAAACAATACAAGTTTGAAGATCAAAATAAAGAAGAGTTTGATAATATTGTGATGGTAGTTGTTGGGTGTGGACCAGTTGGATTGATGTCGATTGTGGCAGCAATTTATTTGGGAGTCAAAAATTTATTCTCGATTGACAGTATTCAAGAAAGACTAGAAATTGCAAAAGATTTTGGAGCGATACCAATTCATTTAATTGAAGAGAATCCAATCGAAAAAATTAAAGAAATTACCGACGGAAGAGGTGCAGATATTGTTCTTGAGGTAAGCATAAATTTTTTATTTAGAAAATATTGGTTTTAAATGGAAATTTAACAATATAATGATATTGGATTTAAATATAGGCGGTAGGAAATACATCAGCACTTGAATTAGCATTTAAATTGATCAGGCCTGCGGGAGTACTATCGAGCGTTGGAATGAATTATTCAAATACGTTTCCTTTTAAACCTAAAGAGTAAGTCACAGACTTATTCATTATAACCTATGAAATTCTAAAATTTAAGAATATTTTAATAATATTTTAGAGGCTACGACAAAAACGTAACATACATATCCGGCCGTTGTCCGGTCCGTCAAATATTAGCAAAAACCATTCCATTTGCACTATCTAAAAAATTTAATTTTGAAAAAATTATTACACACGAAATGAAATTATGTGATGGAGAAAAAGCTTATGAAATTTTTGAGAAAAAATTAGATAGATGTGTTAAAGTTGTTTTCAAAAATAATAATTGATAAAATTTGATACGTCTTATGAATTTCGGACTAATAAAAATTCACAT